GGGCGACGCTGATTGCTTACCATCAGGTAATCCGTTTGCACGCTACCACATAAAAAAAAAAAAAAAAACAAAAAAATATTTAGGTATTTTACTTATACAATAAGCTGTCTGATCAGGCAACGGTGATTTCGTTCAAACCAACGTTGGTGTTATTTTAAAAGAACCAGTGTTGGATAGTTTAGTACATAAAAAAACCGGCCAAGTGCGAGTCGGGCTCGCGCACAAAGGGTTCCGTAGCAGCAAATATAATAAACTTATTATGTCAATTTATACACCTGGTGAATGGAGCCTAAACTCTCCCGATATTTTGCCTTGTACTTTTATGTATGAATATTAATAATAAGCTAATATTTCTCGTAAAAAGTACCTACATTATAAAGATTTTATATCATCGCGGATTTTTAAAGGTGTACAATACTGTAGTATATTTTTTGATCTATCTTATAAGGTTCAGCCATCGTTTTCAGTGTAAGCACAATAACTTAACCAAAATTACAGTTAAATCAACCTATCTCAAAAACTATAAGAGATAATTTGATCAAACCAAAAATCGTTGAAAGAGTTAATTAGCATGCATCACCTCTATTTTTTTTAGAATTTTATACCCCGTAGTTATAAAAATAGAGGGGGGGGACATACTTTTTACGACTTTGAGAGCTGATATCTCAAAAACCGTTCACTTTAAGAAAAATGTTTTTTAGAAAACTTTATATCATTTTAAAAGATCTTTCCATTGATACCCCACACGGGTATGTACATCGAAAAAAAAATTTTCATCCCTCAGATACATGTATGGGGGGCCCCACCCCCAATTCTTTTTTTTACTATTTAGTGTCATAATTTTGTAGCGGTTCATACAACACATATTCCCATCAAATTTCATCACTGTAGTACTTATAGTTTCCGAGTAAATCGGCTGTGACAGACGGACAGACGGACAGACGGACAGACGGACAGACGGACATGACGAACTATAAGGGTTCCGTTTTTGCCATTTTGGCTACGGAACCCTAAAAATGAATCGCCTGGTGAATCGCCTGGGTGTTTGGATGCGTGATAGACGCTATTATTCATTAGGTATATACCTAATATTTTTTCTGCTTTATATTAGGTATTTCTTACACGATTAATCTACATTTTCTTTATCTTTCTGAATTGAAAATCTCATGTTACCAATTCGATTGAGGTACTTACTTACCTACCAAGAGAGTTATGAAAAAAAAGACAATGAACTAAAGTGAACTTTAATTCGTTAGAATTAAGTGTTCAATAAATTGATTGAAATCATATAACCTGATACTAAAGTTGGATTTCTAATCAAATGTTAGTCAGTTTATACTTTAAACATTAGTTAAACCGGTTCAGGATTGTGGTGTGTAGGTACTTCATTACGCGTAAGTACCTAATATTAAATAAGTAGGTAATACCTTAATTTTATCAATCCGTCTATTTCTATTTACGGATTATCATAACCAAATATGTGCTAAACACTGTTTTAATTCGCGGGTATAATAATTAAATCTAGATTAAGTAATAACTGTTACTTACTCCCTATTACATCAGCTACCTACCAATAAAATTCCGGCCAAAATTGGTGCAGTCATTCCAAAGATTAGCAATATCAAACATACAGACGCCTGTTTGCTGCGGCCAACCAGACAGACAAATAAGTAGTGTTATTTATGTGTACCTATTTGTCGTGTACCTACACATAATATTATTATATCCATATATACATGTAGTAAAAAACGGTTATTTAATAATATAAGCAGATACTCCACACACCGATGTATAGAGATATGTATAAATAATTCAAGGCTACTATAGATACCAATAATACCATATCAGCGCCTGACAAAAAAATATTTTCCTTCGTTCATCTACATTGCTATGTTAAAATTTAAAGTTAGTTGTAAAAAAGTTGTTAGGTATGTTTTGCTACTCTTCTGACATATTGGATGAGAAGGTTTTTTTTTGATGGGTATAGGTCAGTAACCTAGCAGACGGATTACCTGCTGTCAAAAGTCTAAGTCAAAATCATTTATTTCAACTAGACCCATACAGGCACTTTTCAACGTCAAACAAAATATTAAAGATATAAAGTGTCAGTCTGTCGGTCAGTCCTCTTAGTGAAGCTATTTGCTCGTTCCAAAGTGTAGATTCCGATGGAGAAGAACGAGAAAGAAACTTCATGGTTACTCTTTTTAAATCAGTGTCATATAAAGTTTCTTTGATACATTATTTAGTTGTTTTGATTATGTGGGAACAGTGTAACGCTAATATACAGAGCAACACAAAAAGAAAATAACCTTAAGGACAATAGACAGTCCGGAGCTGACCAGTCCCAATTGACAGCGCCCGTTCACGAACATGAGAGGTACACCAGTATCGCCCAACTCAACCATAATATAGGGAATCGAGCGATCCAGTGACCGTGCCACCGCCAATGTGACCTTTGAGTGAGCATGACAACTCCAAGCTGACATAAGGACCAACATTCTGCTAGTCTAACTAATTGTAATAGGCTACAGGGCACTCATATTTACATATTTATCAAGTTTAACAATAAAAATGGCATGGTTACAAATTTACAAAATCTAAGAAGTTTCGTTCAACCAAAGATCCACTGGAACATCATTAATTTTTGTGTAGTACTACTCTGTCAAGAAAGTACCGGGAAAAAGTCAATAATACACAAAATGTTTGTTATTCATCTAAATTTATTTTATCACCTTCAAAGTATGCTCCTTCAGAAACGATACACTTACGCCAATGAATAATCCAATCATCGAAACTTTTTTTAAACGCTGTTTCCGGAATTGAGTTCAGTGCTCGCCGCGAATTCTCCTTTATGTCTTCTAACGATTGAAAACGGGTGCCACGAAGGGGTAATTTGAGTGTGGGAAAAAGAAAGAAGTCGGCTGGAGCCATATCTGGTGAATATGGTGGCAGCTCGAGGGTGTTTGTTGAGTGTTTGGACAAAAAATCGTTTACAATGATGGCCTTGTGCGAAGGCGCATATAATAACAGATGCAACTCAAATTCCGCGCCAAAATGGAAAACAGTTATGCCAATCTAACAACAACAAAAAATATTAAAATTCGAATTTGGAACCATAAAAAAAACATTCATTCCCGATACTTTGTTGACTAAATGTATATTTAAGGATTTGGAGGAAAGGAGGGGATTGAGTTGGATTGGGCCTCCGGTAACCTCACTCACACAGCAAAACATAACGCTGGGGTTGTTTCACGACGGTTTTCTGTGAGGTCGTGGTATGTCTCCGGTCGAGCCGACCCATTCGTGCTGAAGCTTAGCTCCCCACACTTTGGTGGCGTCATTTGAAGATTTCTTATGCATAAAAAACTCTGCTCCACAGTCATACTTACTTGAGACCACTCTAGATTACCTTTGTACCTATATAAATAAATAAAGTTTGATTTGATTAAAACGAAATAAGTGTAAGTAATACATAACATATTATATTACTTATGTATTAGTTCCGTCATTCCAATCGATTTCAATTTGATAACGTTTTGTACTTTGCTATTTATTTTATTTTTATTTTAAGAAACAGTTACCATGCAGTTATATTATGAGACTAAATAGATTAGATTTAGAGTACAGGTTAGACATTGACTGGGTAAACGGATAATGTTTCATTCAAATGTGGGAGAGCCACGCTTCGGCACGAATGGGTCGGCTCGACCGGAGTGATACCACGGCCTCACAGAAAACCGGCGTGAAACAACCACAGCGTTGTGTTTCGCCGTGTGAGTGAGGTTACCGGAGGCCCAATCCTTCCCCTCCCCCAATCCCTCATCAATCCCTAAATCCCTAATCCCTAAAAGGTCGGCAACGCACTCGTAACTTCTCCGTTGCGGGTGTCCATGGGCGGCGCTGATTGCCTACCATCAGGTAATCCGTCTGCTCGTGTGACGATCTATCACATTGAAAAAAAAAAATTGGCTACATTCACGCACGGAGCAACTGTTAGTAGATAATATCCACAAATTGTTTTTCCGGGTCTGGTATAAGTATGCGAAATTATATTATGTTTGTAAATACAGCGATAGGTATAGAAAAAATCTAAAGGTGAGGCAACTTAAAAAAAAAGGAAAAGTAGCAGGTTATTTTTTTGCGAGGGGAAACACATCAAATGGCTTTTCCTAAAAACCCCCATTCCTTCTCTTGGTCTAGGCCGCGGCCGCGGCGTCTTATTGCGCTTGTGAGCTCTTGTAAGTGTTTTAACGCCGCAACCCCGGCTAAACGTCAGCCTTATAGGGCTCTGAATTTGGTAGTCTTTTGGATCTCAGTACCATGGCGTTGACTAAGGCTGGCGCGAGAGGTCGCCGAACTCTTCCCTGAGGACACGGCGGTGCTCAGCCCAAGCCAGGCCGCAACCGTATGCACCACCGTATCCTCTGGGTGGTCCTCATAATGACGACACTCGGGCTCTTCCTCCCGCCGAAAAAGTAACAGGTAATTTTTAGACATAGTAGGTATGTACAATAAAACTAAATATGAACGTACACTGGTTTATAGCTATAAATCTTTTATTGTTTATTGCTAAATACTTATGGTAGGTAGTGTCTGAATTTATTCACGATATGCAAGTGAACCTTAAAGTAGCAAACAAAATTTTAATAGTTTTACAAGCTCCATTTTTATATAGAAGTAAATAAATAACCAGATTTGTAGTTCCTGGTGCTATTGCGTAAAAGTATCAACAAGGCAAGTATGAACATTGGAAACTCAACTATGCTTGAGAATTATAATTAGGTAAGTAATATTTTATGTATATTTACCTTTTATAGGGGGGGGGGGGGATTATCCAATAACTTTTCTCGTCTAGGGTGAGGCGAGATAATGCCTCACCCTAGACGAGATATAAAGAGCAGGACTAAGTAAGGAATAAGGTAGCAAGTCAGTTAATGTCCAAAAAGGTAATGCAATATACTGCTGTCAGATAGAATCTCCGACTCTGGTGCTCACAAAAGATGGATCCAAGGAAGCTCAATGCCAAGGGCAAATGTCTCAGCCGGGGTTGCGGGGTACGCGCAATTAGGGACCGCGACATCGGCCCAGAGCAGGAGAAAGAACGGTGGGGTTTTTAGTCAGTACCTAAGAGTCTGACACTCCCTCCCGACCCACCCCGGGCGAGAGAAGTCATGAGAATGTCTCAGGTATATGATAGCAATAGACTCATTAACATGTTGTACCAAGTGTATATGAAAAGGACATGTTTTCAATAAGTATCTGTTTTCTGTTAATCTCTCTCGGCTACAAGACACTTAAGTGCATCAAGTTTTGTTCATTTATTTAATCAACGTTCATTTTAAAACTCCACGCGCTTTAATTCGTCATTTAATCCTTAAAATGGATTGCATACACGGAACTCTTAATAATAAGCTGGTTTATGCTGATGTCCCATTTCATTAACATTACAGTTGTTTAAAGAGCCTCTGCGAGTTGGCTTCGCCCCTCGTACACCTTCCAGAGGTCCGGGACCTTGTAGGTTGGGAACAATTGGATATGAACTGCAAAGGTAGGAAATATGCGGTTTCCTGTTGACATTATATACACTTTATAACATTTGGAAGTATAATTTCGGTCTAAGAGTTGAGTTTTACCTAGTTTGTCGTTTTTAAACCTGGTCCCCACCTTTTTCCTGTGAGTATTATATTATTTTATTGCTGCATTTTAAAATTTTATACACATCATACTCAAACCGGAATCAACAATATGATTTGTTAAACGCACTAAGTAGTTAAACATACTTGATGATTATTAAGGCACCACTAAACGGTAAAGGAAAACATCGTGAGGAAACCTGGACTCAAATTTTTTATCATAGGTTTGAAATCGCCAACCCGCATTGAGCAAGCGTGGTGATTAATGTTCTTCTCCGTATGAGAACAGGCCTTTGCTCAGCAGTGGGGACTTATAGGTTGAGATTGATGATGATGATGATGATGATTAAGATGATGATGATGATAATAATGACGATGTTGATAATGATGATGATGATGATGATGATGATGACGATGAATTATAAATGAATAGCAGTTCGTCACTGCTACGCAAGGGTGTCGCTAACGTCGAAACGTTCGCCCTATCCCGATTTCCCCTCTACTTGTGTGGAGACTGTGCTGCTTGTATGTACATATTTTTGAATATTAACTATCATGACATATATTAGATGTATCGAAAATAGCGACTTAATCAAGTAAATCAACTAAGAAAAGCTCTTCTAGTTTCAAATCACACCGTGACTCTTATACGTGACCAGCGTGTGCGTTGCAGCAACGTCTCGTAGCTAACTCAATTTTTGTATGTTGGTACCTACGATTATGTGTGCAACCAACATACAATTATAATGCTCATATGTATTTTTATACTCCTATAATCATTACGCTACTTAGAATAATCCTTAACGAGCATACTAAAATTAACGAGATGTCTTCAACGAACTAGCTAATCAAACTAATTAGTTTAATAAATAGTCCAAACTGATAATTGTCTAGCAGCACACCAACGCTCAAAATTCTACCCGTACGTATCTAATTAAGTACACACTTCCCGTTTGTTTAAGTGGAGACAGGCAAATACAGGCAAGCGGTAGTAGTGCTAGCACTTGTGTTTGGTTGGTTGGTACATTTTGGTGGCATGCACAAACATGCACGTTAATCTATTATAACACAAAGAAAACCTCTGTCTGTCACAGTATGGGTATCTGTCTTCCTCTTGCAAATCTGCGATGGTTTTTTATTATATGAAAAATCATTGCCCCACTTTTGGATTTTCTCCTGTGCCGTTAGTGCAAAGGAGGACACCTAAGGATTTAAATATCAAATCATATTAAACTGGAGGCGCAAAGCTAGTTCATGCTAAAAATTCTATAATCTACATAATATAAAATACAAATCTAATTCATGATAAGCGCGCCCTCTAGAGTGTAGTAGGTACCTGTGTACCTACATCATACCGAGTTACCGACGCACCTTATAGCATACGATGCTTAAATAATAAGTAGGTATGTAGGTACTTCCTAAGCTATTTGTGACCTAGAATCGTAAACGAAAATAGAAAATAAAAATCCTTACGTAAATAAACAAAACGTGACTTAAATCAGAGAGAAACGGTTGTAAGAAAAAGGTTTTTTTTCTATGTTTGAAATAAGAACATTGTTACTTACTATATTTTGTTAAACTATTGCGTCGATGTACAGCTGTGACGGTTGCAAGTGAAACTTATGTCGTAATAGCTAGGTAACGCGGGCAGTTTAATCGTAGTGCTGTCAGCCAGTATTCGTACATTTCGTGCGTCGTACAGCCTCATTCTGCCTATGCAAATACAGATTAAAAATTATTCATAAAAATCAATGCAGTTGAATAATTAAACGTTGGTTCGATGAATCAAAGCCATTCAAACTCAACGGTGAGTGTTATTTGCAATTTTAATAAACTCTTATCATGTGTTTGTGAATGTGGTGTTTGTGACAATAATAGTCTCCTGAATCATGTTTAGCGTATTGTTTTAAAAGAGATACCAAAGTGTTGTAAACAATATCACTGTTCGTATTGTTTGTCGAACGTGTTCTAAATTTGACTGTGGAATTCGGTAGGTAAACAAAATTATTATTTAGGTAGGTTCTTTCAAAATTTAAATGTAAATTCTTAAATTAATTTAATTGTTTATCGTGAATATCTATAGTACGAGTAAAAACGACGAGTGTTGGAAATCGCGATTAAAAGCCAGCACATCAAATTACCCTCATCTATTTATTTTCTATAGGTAATCTGTGCCTTGTTCTAATAAAGTCGAAAGTCCTTAGCAATGTAAGAGATTAGTATAGCTTTATCTGCATTACTACATTCGGATTGAAGAAAGTGTACCAGAGACACTAAAGGAACAACTAATTCCAGCTACCTCTAATTTAATTCCCGTGAATGTGAATTTATTATTACTTATTTCTGTTCTCTGTGCAGTCTAGACTAATCTATCTAGATTAAATTTGTTTTAAATCGTAATTAGAAATAATGAGGTTTCTTATAAATTAGAAAGGCAGGAATGGCACTTCCTTGGCGAGTTTGATTAACGACCAAAAAAGTATCTGGTTCGAAACTTAAATTGATATACATTTTATTACCCCATGTTTTTAATGGTACGGCAAACGAGCAGATGGATTACCTGATGGTAAGCAATCAGCGCCGTGCCCATGGACGCCCGCAACACCAAAGGAGTAACGAGAGCGTTGCCGGACTTTTGGGGATAAGTGTTTCGGATATTTAAGGATTGGGAAGGATGGGGAGAGGGTTACGGATTGGGCTTTCGGTAACCTCACTCACACGGGGCCCGCCTTACCATCTGGCGGGCCAACACCCGTCGCAAAATGCTTCGGCGATACCCGCCCCTCCGACACATGGGTTATTGGAGGAACACCGGGTTGGTTTTTAGTCAGTAAGAGTCTGACAGTACCCTTCGTCCTTCCCCGAGGGCGATGGGTCTCCATGAGGATTTTCCAACCCGACACCAAATGGCTCTCCTACACTTTTTTGTGCAGAATTTTATTGGTACCTATTTATCTACCTAATTGGGTTACTTATAATAAACTAGTTCCATCACATGGTTTCGTCCGCGAAGGTAATATAGGCAGGTATAGGCTTTTTTTTTGTCAGGGGAAAATCATCAAATGACTTCTTCCGCCTAGGGTTAGGTGAGAGGTAGTGTCAGACTCTTACTGCCTAAAAACCCCCTCGTTCCTTCTCCTGCTCTGGGCCGAGACAGGTACCCATGGCCTATGTTCAACGGGAATAGCGTAGCTTCCCAATAGTGAAAGACTTCTTCTAATCGGTCTAGAAGTTTCGGAACCTGTTCCATACAAACTATCAAATCTTACCTCTTTGTAATGTTAGTATAATATGTACCTATATGCATAAATGGAAATAGCTTTGATTGATTTTTTTTATTTGTACACGTTTAAGGCATGTATTTAATTATTCTCATTAAAATATCCCACTAACTTCGGAAAGGTGGTAAATATAATAACGATAACTAATTAAAATAAACTAATCATAATCATAATCTTCTAGTTTACCCTTTTGAAAAATAACAATACCTGGTTATATAAATATTTACATAAATAACTACTGATATCGATTGGTTAATTTTCACGTGAAATAAATGTGTAATAGTAGGGACCGTATGTTGATATCAGAGTTGAAATTATTTATTACCAACCTTACTATTCTCGTGGATATGGCCTTGACAGAAGAGACCAGGGCAGTAATTCTCTCTGAATTCTCTGACAGAAAACCGTAGCTCTTTCTAATCCTGGGTCTTTTAAGCTAACATCTTCATCTACTCATTAAAAGGAAACAATTGGAGTACCTAGGCTCGTGAATAATTTTAATAAGATGATACATCATATTACCATCAGCCTATAAGTGCGCACTGCTGAGCAAAGGCCTCTTCTCACATGGACAAGGACTTGCTAACGGCGGATTGGCGATTACAAACGTATAAGTAATTAGCAATTATCAGTCCAGGTTTCCTCACGATGTTTCCCTTCACCGTATATCAGTGGTGTCTAAATGATTATAGAAAGTATAGATTATAACTTGGAAAAAGTCACATTGGTACTTGCCAGGTTATACGAACCCGTGCCCTTTTATTCAAGAGAAGCGGACGCCTTAACCTACGACTAGATGACACATAGATAGCTACACAGAAATAGCAAATATCGGACACAGCTGTTGTTATTTGGGTACGCAGTTACTTCTACCGATTGGTTAAATGTTAGATAATAATAATAAGTGTTACGAAAGGCCAACGACTTCGTATTTTATACTTAACTTTCCTTTACACATTCAATACACGTTACACGTCATACCCTAATCCTTTATAATAGGCCTCCTCTTTTAAAATTGCAATCTGCAATAGGTACCTATATGTATCTAAATATATATTAGATTATAATTCAATTATTAATCCAATGGTACCTTAAAAGTAGGTAACATTAAATTTTTATTACCCGTGATGTTAAAATTCCCTAACGTTTAACATTTAATGTCAGCGGTTCACATAACAACACATGGAATTATATGGAATGCAGGAGTCCCGCCTAGGATTACGGACTAAGTGAAGCAAATTATCGTGACCCGGTTTCAGGCAAGATTTTGAATAAGTAGGATGGATTTTGGTCAGTTACAGCCTGCTCCTTCACATTTAGCTTTTTACCAAATACTGAAAATAATAGGTAGGTGTAGATTCTTTGCCAAAAAAAACAACAATCATATTTTGACAGACCCCAAAACCCAAGGCTATTTTCATGTCTCTGAGGGACATAGTTTTGCTTGTGATGTTTTTATAAATAATTATATTAATAATATAATCTATTAGATCACGGATTTTTTCGTTACTCATAGTTCTAAAGATTGAGGCTTTTCAATAGAAATCACGAGATTTCAGTTAGGTATAGAGGACCCGTAATACCCGTATCAGTGTATCGAGTACGTACCTACCTACACCATTGCCTACTTACGTCTGAATTCCTACCTACAAAAGGTGCCCTTATTTATTTTAAGGTCAATAAACTAATTTTTACAGGTAAACAATCTTTAGGTACCGGCTGTTTACCGATTTTAAATTAGGTATGTTTTCAATTCAACTGTTTTTTGGAGAAGCTATGGACTCTTTTGCACCGTGTGGAGATGTAGGCTCGCTATGTTGTGTTCTTTAACGACTATACCAAGGTGAGTGCTCGAAGGTATAGTTCAGTTTGACGTGCCACATCTTCACGGGCCTGCGGTCGGCGAGTAAGGGCAGCTCGCCGCCCGACCAGAACCAGGCCCGAGCGTACGGCGCGTAGCGTTCCGTGCGCGCCTCAAAGAGCCATTCGACCACCACAGACGGGGCCCTAAAGGGCTGATGTTCAGGTTGCGGGGTAAGCGCAATGAGGCACGCGAAAACAATATCATCTCAATTATATAGCTATCAAAAGCTGTGCGATTTTCGCGAAACTTTTTGCAACACACAGCAAAATCATGGAACGATCTTGCAGCGTTGGTATTTCTTAACCGATATGCCATTCAAACCTTCAAGAAACGAGCGTAGGTACTTTTTTTTAAAAGGCCGGCAACGTGCCTTTTATTCCTCTGGTGTTGTGGGTGTCCATAGCAGCACTGATCATTTTAACATCAGGTGTTCCGTAAGCTCGTTTGCCTTTTAGGTAAATTGCTTTAAAATATGTAGGTAAGACACTTTATTATGTCTACTTATTACTTACTAGCTACTCTCTCGCGGTTTCACCCGCTGCTCAGCTCCATTTAATCGTAGCGTGATGTTTTATAGCCTATAGCACTCAGGGACATTCACATATCAGTGAAAGAATTTTGGCAATCCGACCAACGGTTCCAAAGATTACCCCCTACATACAAACTTACAAACTTGCAAATATTACCTTTTTATAATATTAGTAGGTATAGACAAATGTATTAGGTTAAACTATCTGACTCGTAGATTCTGCGTCAATGATGAGTTCAGGTGTAACATATTTAGTTAGGGAGATAGTAGCAGTAGCCACTTTGGGCATAACATCCAGTTTTGTTTCCAAAAAGACACCAATCATATTTTGGCCAACCCTAAAACTAGTCTGTTCATATTGTAGTAATATAGGTAGTACATACCAAGCACTTCCTAGCTAAGATTTATGTTACTTAGTCAGTTTAGTTCAAACTTAAATTCTGTTCTCTTAAAATCAAGACTACTTCCTTATCAGGGTCGCTTAAGACCACGTGCTATACCTTTTTCCTCAATTTGTAAATTTATGGTCCCAAACTAAAACTTGTTCTTATTCATGGGTATTTTGACCCTCTAAGTATGATGAAGCCACGCCCTCCGGTGACAGGTTTGAATTGTTAGGAATGCGCTTAGGCTCGTTTGTTTTGATTTGAAGTTAGGACGTGTGTGACCCATTCTAGTACCTATAGATGCATCTTTTTTTTTAATAAGTCTCAATAAACTTAAATTGATCACTTACTAATCAGATAAATTAGGTAAGTAGGTAATTATTAGGGTGGTGTGAACTATGATTGTGAACTTAAATGTTATTTACTAAATCGCTTTTCTATTTCAGGTGGGCAATTCAAAAGTAATGAAGTGGACCGGTGAACAAAAACTGCTGATATTCTTCATAATAGCAGCTCTATGTTTTTTTGTGTCCACCGTTGCACTTGCGACTGTGGACATTCAAGTGTGCCAACCATATCTTGAACATCAGTTTAATAAAAGTAAACATGACAATAAAAATGAAAAGAAAGAGGTGAGATAATTTTATTTTATTTTATTTATTTATTTTATATCACAACGGTAGCCATCTTATGTGCTAAGCCCCACAAAACCGTTTTTTTAAGAACATTATTTTAATGTAATGGGATATCTGGTAAATTACTTTCTTAATCTTCTCTATCGTTTTGCTCTTGACAGAGTGGTCGTGGCCATGGCCATCATCGCCCTCGTATACTTGTATTGTTGGCGGACAAGGTTATCCTCTTGATCTTCCACTATCTCTCTGTCTATTTGTAGACTGTCTGGCGCTATCTGTCCCAGGATTCCCTATTCATATTTAAAACTTAATCAGCACTTGCACAGCCAGGTAAAAAAACCAGGTACTTATGAATAAATGGCAAACATTGCAAGACGTCATGGTCCCGATTTGAATGATTCTTCAGCACATTCACAGCCAGTTTAAGATGGTACATAACGATATCATAGTTTGATGTATTGTGTAGTTGTGTGTACCTACCTACTAACTAAATGTTTCTGTATAATTACAGTCTACTTTAAATACGTACCTATTATTATCATTAGGTACAAACATAGGTCTCTCGCGCCCGGCCTTAATCGAGGCCATGGTGCAGCGTGAGAGGAACTGGGAAGCTATCTCCTCCTTCTGCGAAGCAGTTATGCTCGCAAAGGAGGAGGCGGAGCGCGTGAGGGAACTATCCTCCTCGCGCCCCAGCCGCCGCAGAAGGCGACATTCCGGACGTCGGGGATCGAGAGATGATCTCCGGCCACCGTAAGCGCGGATCTGCGGACGGCGAGTAAGGGTAGCTCGCCGCCCGACCAGAACCGGACCCGAGCGTACGGCGCGTAGCGTTCCGCGCGCGCCTCAAAGAGCCAATAGACCACCACAGTCGGGGCCCTAAAGGGCTGATGTTTAGCCGGGGCTGCGGGGTAAGCGCAATGAGGCACCGCGACCTCGGCCCAGAGCAGGAGAAAGAACGGGGGGGTTTTTAGTCAGTAAGAGTCTGACACTCTCTCTCGCCTTACCCTGGGCGGGAGAAGTCATTGGATGATTTTCCCCTGAAAAAAAAAATGGTACAAACATAGGTACTTACTTACATATGTGCTTAGATAGGTACTTAGACTTACATAGGTAGGTACGTACCCGTACGGCCGTAGGTACATACGTACCTATAAAAAGGTAAATAAGTAAGTAATTTTAATAAGAATAAAATCTGAACCGTGTTTAGGGCGTCTGTTTATGAGTATTTTTATTATATACATACAAGTATGTGAAGGATATCTTCTTCTTCAGAATACTGCATAAATATTATAAATAACTAACCTAACCTTAACTAAGTAACTGATGACATCGTGTTGTTACTAGACAGGGTTTTTTTGTGAGGGGAAAATCATTAAATGACTTCTCCCGCCCAGGGCTGGGTGGAAGGGAGTGTCTGACTCTTACTGACTAAAACTCCCCCTGTTAATTCTCCTGCTCTGGGCCGAGGTCGCGGTGCCTCATTGCGCTTACCCCACAACCCTGGCTGAACATCAGCCCTATAGGGCCCCGTCTGTGGTGGTCTATTGGCTCTTTGAGGCGAGCGCGGAACGCTACGCGCCGTACGCTCGGGCCTGGTTCTGGTCTGGTCGGGCGGTGCTCAGCCCAGGCAAGGCATACCGCCACTGTATGCTCCACCGTTTCCTCTAGTTACTAGACGGGTGACTGTAATATTGTCCAATGTACAGTTATCTACTACATTAATGTAGGTTTTATCTGTGCTCCCACTAATTGTTGGTCCGGATCAGGTGTGATGAGAAGTAACGTTTTGTACTTATTTTAATTTACTTTACATTTTTTTTGCCATGAAAAAATCCTCAGATGAAAATATTATAAGTAAGACATACAACAATATCGAAAAGACATAAGTGCAACTATATATTTATAAAAAAATATCTAAGTACTTATAGGTGCTTCTTCTGTTCCCAGGATATTAGTTACTACCGTCTCCCAAGAAGTATTGAACCTCAGAACTACAAACTTTCTCTGCTGCCGAACATGACGAGCAACTTTTTTGCTGGATCAGTGCTAATCACAATAGCGGTGAAGGAAAATGTTAAAACAATAACTCTACATGCAAACAATTTGACCATCCATGGAGTTACATTGACGACTAATAAAAGTCAAGATATTCCGGTTTTCTCTACAAATAAATCTTTGGATAAAAGGGAGCTGTTGATGATACATTTCAAACGAGAATTAGAAATTATGCAATACAAGCTGTTTATTAACTTCTCTGGCAGATTGGATAACAAACTGGTTGGATTTTATGAGAGTCGTTTGAAAAGTAGTGGGTAAGTTATTAGTTATTACATTGTAAAAATGTATTTATTTTTTGTTATCTACACATTATACAATGACTACAATCAACTAGGTAGGGACAATAGGTATTAAATCTGCTATGAAGTGACGCTTGAACAAAATACTTCACTGAATGTTTACATAATTTCTAAATACATAATAATAATTTCGGCCGAATCAAAGTTGTCTTTGCCACACAATAGAATAATTTGACACTGACACTCTAGTTGACACTAAACTTGAAGTTGAAAAGTTGCAGATGACAATGACATTTCAAATTTCCAAGCGTTCTTTGAGGCTGTGTAAAATCAGCTGTGTAAGCCGAAAACAAAATAAATAGAATATTCTCCCACGTTTGAGTCCTAATTAATATTATTTTAATGACATTATGTTACCGCGGCCTATTGATCAAAAGGTGTTTGGATAATACTTTTATTCGGCTAAATAGATGCCACAGTCGGTTGAGTAACGATTTAAGTGCTACAACACATCATAAATTAAATTTTATTGTGAAAGTAAAAATATTATGGCAGATATGCGTATCAACGTGAAATTGTCCGAACGGCTGTCCCCGCTAGTGAGACCTGTTAACTACAAGCTTGAACTACGACCCGAAATAGACAAAGGCGTATTTCAGGGCAATGTTGACATAGAAGTTGTTATCAAACAAGAACGAAATTACATCAACCTCCATTCAAACTTCTTGAACATAAAAGAAGTAAATGTTTTCAAAGGCACTGATGAGGTTCCAGTCGCAAAGTTTTTGGAGATAAAACAAATGGAACAATTGTTCATTCATTTTGATTCAGCGCAGAGTGCAGGGAATTACAAAATCTCTATTAACTTTGATGGCGACTTGACACGAAACATTGTTGGGTTTTATTCCTCACGCTTACTTGACTCTAGGTAAAGATGTAAAAATTCTTTAATTATTTCATTGTCAGCTTGAGCTGGTAAAAAAGCCTTCAATAACACCAAATGTCATTTGAAGACTAAGTTTAAGTCTTAAAAATTACTTTGGTATATTTTCTAATAGGAATACTACCTAATTCTTTTAAGTAATATTATTTGTCTAAATGTAGAATGTATTTTCAGAACAATGGTTGCAAGTAAATTCCAGCCAACTTATGCAAGACAAGCATTCCCTTGCTTTGATGAGCCAGACTTCAAGGCTACCTATGATATCACCTTGTGGAAGCCACCTTCTTACATTGCTCTTTCTAATATGAATGTGAGTATCCTTCTAATATTACCAAGTTAGATTGTAATAAGATTAATTAATATAGAATTATTTCATCAGAAGTAAGCCCTGTTGTTTACACACTATTTATTTACTACTGTGTCTCTAATTAGCACAATTAAAAAGTGTAATGAAAACTGTTTATGGCAATTTAAATATTCAATTCTTGTTAAGTTTTTCTTAAGTTAAATTGGTGTTGGTTATTTTATACTGGCTTTTGTTTGCAACTCCGTTCCAGTGGAATAGTGACTTCCTGCAGATTTTTGGTATAAAAACCATCCTATGTCCTTTTTTGAGTTTCAAACTATGTCTGTACCAAATTGCACAGAAATATGTTCATTAGTTTAGGTGTGAAGAAAAGACAGACAGACAGAGTTACTATCGCATTTATAATATTAGTATAGATATAAATATCTTGTCAAATCTATCTAATTGTCAGCAGTTTTAACAACCTTTAATTATTGACCTTGTGTTTATGTTTAGAAGTTGAAAAGACAACACAGTGTATAAAATATAATATAAACTATTAATGTTGCAGAGATATGGGTGCATTGTTAACTAAATAATATTTCTATTCTTACATATAAAGTCAAAGTCAAAAGTCAAAAATCATTTATTTCAATTAGACCACAGTAGGCACTTTTGAACGTCAAGCAAGCAAAAAAGGAAAATAGTATATAACATGAGCTTTAAAAATAAAATATATGTTTGTAAAATTATACATGAATTCTTAAAATTTTTTCCAGGAAATCTCAAAAACATTTGATGAGAATGTTCAAATGGACAAAGTTACGTTTGCAACTAGTGTGCCTATGTCCACCTACTTGGCTTGCTTTGTTGTCTGTGATTTTGATTACAAAGAGGCTGACATAAATTCTGGTGGTATCGGACGAAATTTCAAACTCCGATCATTTGCTCAGAAGCAGGATCTACACAAAATCGACTTTGCTCTGGACATTGGAAAGAGAGCCACTGAATTCTACATTAACTACTACAAGGTGCCATTCCCTCTGCCAAAATTAGGTTAGATATTTTATACTATTACATGCACTTACTATTATGTGGAATAGTGACGTCCTGCAGATTTTTGGTATTAAAACTATCCTATGTCCTTTCTCGAGTTCCAAACTATGTTTGAACCAAATATCACAGAAATCGGTTCAGTAGTTTAGGCGTGAAAAAAAGACAGACAAACAAACAGGCAAAGTTACTTTTGAATTTATAATATTAGTTTGGATTAATTAACATTCTTTAATTTACTACCTCAGATCAAAAATCCTAATATTTGTGATTGAACAGTTAAAACATTTTATGTCAATTAGACTACACAAAGCCTTCGCAAACTTCAAACAAGAATATCCTTTCCATCATTCTCTGTATTATTATAAGTCTTTAGAAAGAACTGTTTTTAAATGTATTTTAAGCATCTGTTATTGCAAAACAACATCAAAGGTGAGTGTAATTTCATTCCCACATTTCAGATATGATTGGCATCCCGGATTATGTTTCCGGAGCTACTGAGCACTGGGGCCTGATCACATATAGGGAGACATCATTCCTCGTCGACAAAGCTACAGCCTCGGCTGCAAATAAAATAAGTGTAGCAAACACAATCGCACATGAACTCGCACACATGTGGTTCGGAAACTTAGGTATGTTAATTTATGATATGTATTTTATTTCATGTCCATTGTTTTTAGCAGTCATTCGAAATTAATCCTTATTTCAATGAAACTTAGGTGTTTTTGTGACTGTATTCAAATATAATTGAAATGATGTTGTCATAATGCTAATGATGAACTGCTTATGAGCGTAATACGATATTGTACTTTGTGAATTGTGACCTTATATTAATGTTTAACAAAATGTTAGATAAGAAATACTATTACAGATGGTTAGTTAGTATATTTACTGCTCTGTAAAGTGTCTTGGGTGCCTGGGCAAAACTTTGGCACCAAGAGTGGTGCCAAATTTTTATTCATACTCGGGGTCATAAGATACATATTTGATTGCGCCACTTACCCAGCAACGAATCGCCCGCCGGTTCAATTCCGAACGGAATAACTCTTTGTGTTTCCACTAATTGTTCTGAGTCTGGGTGTAGGAAATTGTATGTTTGTAAAAGCACCCACGACACAGGGTACATTAGAAAATCGTAATGTATGGCAACATGACTTAATTAAAACAAAAAAAAATAATAGACTGGGTTCCTCTTCTTTGTAAAGGAGATAGTCTCTCACAGGCTGTTAACGCTATTATTTTAGTTAGGTATAGAGAAACTATATTTTTTCTAATAAATTTTCAGTTACAATGAAATGGTGGGATGAAGTCTGGTTAAATGAAGGATTTGCTACTTACATGCAAGCCAAAGCCTTGGAAACTATAGAGCCAAGTTGGAAAGTTGTGAGTAACATTATATAAAATTAAATTAAAGGCTGCACAATTGACTGGCTGCCAAGCAAGGTGTCCCTAGCTCGATAGCGGCACTGAGCAACTCTGAGTGTGACTTGTATTAAATAAATTATGTTATTATACACCCACGGCACAGGATTTAATCCTAGTGTTGGAAACATAAAAAAAAACATATTTTATTATTTATATGCTTTATAAACGTTACGAAACATCGGGTTATCTAATAGTAACTCTAGAGAAGTTTTTTATTATTTACTATTTTTTTATTATTTATATTATTTAGTACTTACAGGCCAAATAAAAAAAATATGTTTATAGGTAGGTTAGTTATTATTTATACCTATAGTCGAACTCACGCTAGACTACTCGTCATATGCCCTAGAGCACACAGTCCTCAATAAACACAATTCGCCACAGGCCGTCAAAAGAAATATCTAAATTTTGATTTTGTTTCAGTTGGATAACTTCTTAACTAAAGTTTTGCATCCAGTTCTATCGATTGACGCTAAGCTTTCCAGCCACCCGATAGTACAAACAGTTGCCACTCCTGATCAAATTACCTCCATTTTTGACAGTATTTCTTATAACAAGGTAAGTTTTTTACTTTAAAAGCCTTTGTCTATTTTAACTTCTAAGTAAGTGTAAAATTAAAGTAATTTTTTCACTAGGCCTTGTTGACCAAGTGTTTACAAATGTAGTGTTGTGGGGTATAACACCTTCAATTCAATTAAGCTATTATTTATTTTTGTAACAGGGACTAAAAAAGCAATCTTACACGTCAAAATTATTTACAAAAAATATAAATGAAGTTGGTATTTCCTATCGCAGTACTCTGAGAAAAAATGCCAAAACAAACTCATTATTTGACTAGGCTAGATTTCTTTTTTCAATAAAAAAATATTTGTAGAATATTAGAAATAGGTACATTGTACTATCTGTAAGTTAAACTCTTTGTAATATAACTTATCTTGTAAGTACCTATAAAAATATTTTTTTACATATACAGGGAGCGTCAATCTTAAGGATGTTAGAGGGATTTATTGGCCCAGAGAATTTTCGTCAAGGAGTCTCGGATTACTTGAAGAAATACGAGTTTGGTAACACTGTCACTCAAGAATTACTTTCTTCATTGGAACCTTATTTCAAAAGAGACTTCCCTGATTTGAATCTTACGTAAGTAGCTATTTTTAATCACAATAGTCATTGATTATAGGTTAAAGATATTTTCAACACACTTCCTCATAAAGTGCTCATGCTATCCTCGAAATGCCCAAAAAAAAAAACATATTTTTTTAGTCTATGGCCGATGTGCGCGCGTTCGTATACTGATTAATTTTACCCGCCATTACGAAACATTTTTCACAACTCGTCTCGTTTTCTCTTTTGAAGATTTTTATTTAAATAGGTATTATTTTATTCAGAAGTGTGTTGAAAATCGTCGTACGATACACGTATGTATTGATAATTACCGTCCTCGGTTCCTTACGACCCTCGTATGCCGTCTCGGGCCTAAATGCTCCTCTGCGGTAATGCTCCAACTTTACGCACTTCTACCATAATGTCTATTATCTTATTTCAGGTACATAATGGACACTTGGACTCTTCAAATGGGTTACCCAGTGTTGGAAGTAAAACGTGATGGAGAGTCCGACACCTTCACAGTATCGCAGTCACGGTTCCTAATCGATCCTGACGCAGTATACACCAACGACTCTAAGTTCAAGTAAGTGTTACTAAGACCTCTTTATTTCATCTATTCTAAGAAACATTCTACAGCTTATTTAAAACATCTATTAAATATAATAATATTTTGTAAAGTGAAGATATATAAAATAACCTCAGTCTAGAAAATATTTAATAGCTTCCATTACCAATTAGTTAATTTCCAAGACATTTATTGAGCTATATGTTGGCAATCGAGTATACGGATCACCTGAAGGTTCTCGGCCTCGGCGCCGTTCATAAACACTTACAACACTAAGTGCGTGGCCGACCTTTTGTGGGTAATTGGGGATTTGGAAATAGGGGATTGAGGATGATGAGGAGGGAGGGGAAGGGAAGTGAGAATTAGGCCGCTGGTAACATCACACACCCGGTGAAATGCTATGGTTGTTGTTTGACACGGGTATTTTTTGAGACCTTGGTATCTTTTCGAGCCGGACCATTTTTGCCGAATCACGGCTCTCCCACTGTTATAAGGTTGAAATTGACTTTAGAATTGATTTATTCTAAAGTCAGTTTCCACCTTTCGAAGCTTGGTCATTATTTAAGTATTGTGTAAGTATGGGAGAGCCAAGCTTCGGCACGAATGGGTGGGCTCGACCGGAGTGATACCACAGCCTCACAGAGTACCGGCGTGAAACAACCACAGCGTTGTGTTTCGCCGTGTGAGTGGGGTTACCGGAGGCTTAATCCTTCCCCTCCGCCGATCCCTCCCAATCCCTAAATCTTCAAAACCCTAATGCCTAAAAGGTCGGCAACGCACTCGTGACTCCTCCTTTGCGGGTCCATGGGCGGCGCTGATTACTTACCATCAGGTAATCCGTCTGCTCGTTTGCCGACCTATTCCATAAAAAATACAATAAAAAATTATATAATACTTTAAGAAAAAAAAATTATAAGTATAAGGTTTGATTTTTATCTCTTTCCAGCTATAAATGGTTCGTACCCATCACATTCAAGACTGATACAACTACAAAGAATGAAGTTACCTGGTTGGCTGACACAGCTCAAGATGGTAAGAGTTAAAATAGTTGTTATTTTACTTACCCTAATTAATTATGTGTTTAACGGCTTGCCCACGTTGACAACAGGTTATGAGGATACGATAATCAAATATGAATAACTTTAAACTAATCGAGGCTGCTCGACTAGTTTCAAGCTACAACAAGAGTTCATATAGCCATGTAGTACATTTACATTTACTTCTTTAACCTCTGACTATTTTATTCAAAATAACGAATTACGTGCATTGACTGCGTAAAGCTCTACTAGTAAATAATTTATAGAATCAGGCGTTGCTTTGCGGAAATCCATGACATTAAATGTTAGGAAAACTAAATATTTTTCCTAACATTTAATCTACTAGTAAAGTTTCAAATCACAATGGAAATCTTATTCATAATTAGCGTGCGCGTCGCGACGGCTTTGAGCAGCTGCCTAACTAAAACTATTGAAGCTCTTCAATACACGCGACTAAGTCTTTGTTTTCATTATACTTCGTATGACTAATGAGTATACATTAAGTAAACTACTTGACCAGTTTATACAATATTATATTTATATTTCAGTAAAATTGAAAACAAACCCGGACGATAAATGGCTGAAGATAAACATCAACCAAGTGGGTTATTACAGAGTCAACTACGATGTACCCACTTGGCAAGCTCTCATTGAGGCATTGAAGTCAAAGACTCAACAGGTAATCTAATAATAACTTTTAAAATTATATATTCCTTTTGAAAAATCTTTGTACAAACAATTTTGCATCGACGTACGTTTTTTTATGTAATAGGAGATTTTCTAGAAAAAGGTTTGTTAAACGTTAATAAAAACATGGCGTCACAAAGTACAGTGCCGCACGAAAATCTTAGCGCACTGCCGATTTTGACCATTTTATAAATGTATTTAATTTGAATATGCCAATTCTTAAGCTTAAAGTTATTTCAAATCCGCTTCTACCATTAAATTGTTAGACTTTTTTTTATTAAATAATCTTCTTTATTTCAGCTCAGTGGCGCCGACAGATCACACCTACTGGACGATGTATTCGCTTTGGCTGAAGCGCGCGCTGTGCCTTACAGCATAGCTTTGGAACTTACCACTTATTTGCAAGTAGAAGACGAACTGACTCCTTGGCAATCAGCTGGTTCTGTATTTGGTGCTTTGGAGGATCGATTGCAGTATTCTTTGGTGTATGATAATCTAATGGTAAGTTTTAAATCCATATAAAAAATCATTTAACAATGTCAACATTTTTTTTATTAACATTACACAAGTTAAGCTATAGAAGGAGGCACTTTAGAGGCACTTTGGTACCACCGGGTGCCTGCATAACTCTGTCGTGTAGTGGAGGCTTATTTGACGGAAAGGTCCAATCTATCCCTGGGGCGTGTAGAAGCGGTGCGAAATATCGCACGGTGTTCCACAGGGAGCGGTGCCGGGACCGATCCCTACATCGGGTACGATTCGTCGCTGCGCACCGACCTCCCGAGCGGTGTAAGCATTGTCTATTACGCCCATGAAGAGCTAAATTAATTCGATTGATTGTTGATTACGCTATATGACTTACTTTCTATACAGATTGATGAGGTAATTGGGTAGTTTCAAGCCAAACCTGAGTGCCTAGCACGAATGACTATCGTAATCGTAACGTTAACGTATCGAGACGTCGATACTTCATGTGACGAAAACGGAATGTCGCAGCACGAAGCCTATCGTATCGTCTAGCGAGAACTCGAATCGAATTCGTTAGTGACGTCATGCTAATGTAAGCTAGAGAAGCACCCAAGTGAACGAATTGAATGAATTCTTGAACATAATTTAACATAAAGATTTCGTCTGAAAACTAAAATTAATTTTAAAGATATTTCAACCTTCGTCTACACCTTTTGTGGTATTATATTTAAATGAAAAAATATTAATTACGTGAAATAATTCTTAAAACGAGTCAAGAAGTATATAAAATGACTTAATCTATGAAAAAAAATATTATTTGGTTATTTAAATTTTGTAACATAATTTACGATTTCCGAGCGTTCTTTTGACAAAGGTGACGTTTGACGGCTATTGACGTATTTTTTTTTAACAAACAAAACAAAGAATGTAGATTGTAGATAATTATGCGGCTATCTTATTATGCGGTTAGTTTAAATTTATTTTAAAATGAGGAGGAATCGGCTCCAATACGAATTATAATGGTGGATTTCATGGAATATGCCAGTGACAAGCAGCGAGCCTTCAGTGTTCCGACCACTCCGCAGTACCCATGAAGCCAGCCGTTCACCGACACCACCAGTCGCCAATCCTCCATTAGAAAAAGAATGCTGGAAGCCTCGACCGAAGAAAAAATCTAAAGGGAGTTTAATCAAATTGTTTAGAGAATGATAAGAAACCTAGGGAGTTTGCTAGGGATACGATAACGGCGTGAGGAAACATATGATATAATGGAACAAGAGCGTTTGGAATTACGACGAGAAGAATGAAGAGTAAGACAGAGAGATGCAGAGCTCCTTTTACAGGCTCAGTGGCTGGAACTTATGAGAGAGGCAATAAATGTATTAAAATTTAATCTAGTTAAAAAGATGATTAATGTATATTTACATGTTTTATTTTAAATTACTACATTTTGGAATGAGGGAAGATTATGTTAGAATTGAATTTAAAATGTCTCACTATAGTTACCTATTATAAAAACATAAAACTATTCTTAATAGTTTTTAAGTTAGATTAGTGTGTAAGCTGTTTTGGAAATGTACAATAATAAAACACTTGGGTCATCTGTGTAGTATATTTATTTGCTGTACCAGATTATTCCTTATAGCCCTTTCACTTATCAAATCATCGCTTCTATCATTTTCATGTCTCATAACAGAAGATGAGGTATGAGACAAGTCTTGATGCTGTTGTTGCAGCTGTTATTGTATCTACCTGTTGCTCAGGCACATTGAAATTTATGACCAAATTATGCAACACGCAGCAAGCCGTTGTCAAACACATTTTTCGGGAGCATAATGCAGTGTGGTCTTTGCACAAGCATCGCCTCTTCTTTCTTTTACTGCAGTATATCGTGCGGGCCACGAGTTCCCTCTACCGCATCCAAAATGAGTAGGCGTCATTAGCCATGGTCGCTGTGGGTAGCCAGAATCACCTGTAAAAAAATACTTATTAGAAAACCTAATTTATACTAGCTACTTCCTCGCGGTTTCATCCGCTGTTCGACTACTATTGATTTCATTTTAGCATTATAAGGTTAGTTTTTATTGGAGTTGCTCACAGAAGTACTTGAAAGCTTTTTTATTTAGGCGGTACCTAGTATTTCTAAACTACGTTTCAGTGATATCCATTGGATTAGATATCTTTCTGAATTTAGCTCGGCACACGATTTCTCTAGAATAATCAGTTAATTCGTATTATTTTCTTGAATACATATGTCTATATTAAGTGAAACATAACTTGAATAGGTAGGTACTTAGGTACTTACGAAGTTTCTCTTGACTCTTCATCTCCAAGTAAAATAGCCACAAATAAACTATTTCTCCAACTTGGTTCGTACAGCGGCGGTCTTTGCATGATGTTATACTCGTAAAGAATACTCACAAACCTTATAATATATTATTTAAAACACGATTGAAATATTTCGAAACCTTTCTCACCGTCTAATTCTTAGTGACAAATGTTTCGACAGTTTTCGATAGCCAGCCTTCGAAACTTACGTTACTATACGTCAAAAGATCGTTCGTGCTTCCAATTTGTGTCAAAATGTTCTAAGTTTCGATAGCTACACGATACGATTACTATACGATAGTTGTCAAAATCATTCGTGCTTGCGATTATTAGTTCCTTTTACGCACGGTAGGGGCGCTGTACAAATCCCATAGAAAATGCTTTCGATCTCGATACGAATACTTTCTCGATAATGTTCGTGCTAGGCACACAGGGCTCTTAACTATGAAGTTAAGAACATCATTGTGGGACAAATGATTCAATAAGCGTCGTGCAGCCATTTTACTAGTTGTTTTGTATATATAGTTGCTTTTTCTAGGTTATTGCAGTCTACTATTTAAAAGAAAAATATTTTATTTTTCACAGAAATACATTCAGCGTATAATTCGTCCCATTTACGCAAAGCAGAACTGGGATGCAGTAAACTTGCCCGTTCTTGACAGGTGAGTAATATTTATGTTTGCATATTAATATCTACTATTAGGTAGATATGTAAAAATGTACTTACCGAGACGATATAGATGGGAGGAATTATGGTAGATCATTTTATCGCATTAATTGATTTTCCTTGAATAAGGCACAAACTGTAGTCACCAACATAGTCCAGCTTTTTTTACTAAAACAATTTGTTTCAGCTTACTACGAACAAAGATATTATCATTGGCTGTCCACTATCAGCTTCCTGAAGCAGTAGAGAAAGCGAAGAGTATGTTCTATCAATGGCTAAATACTCATGGCACACCGGATCATGCGCCAATACAACAGGACTTGCGTGAAATGGTGTATTATAACGGTAAACACATAATTATATGTTATTTCTATTTTACCTACTTACTTTTTTTATATGATAGATCGGCAAACGAGCAGACCGAATACCTGATGGTAAGCATTCAGCGCCGCACATGGACAACCGCAACAATCGAAGAGTTACGAGTGCGGTGCCGACCTTTTGGGGATTAAGGATTTCGAGATTTTGGGATTTGGAGGTATTAGGGGTGGACAAGAATTAGGTCTCCGGTAACCTCACTCACACGGTGAAACACAACGCCGTGGTTGTTTCACGCCGATTTTCCTTAAGGCAGTGGTATCATCAGAATATAGCAACATGTATCTTTATTAAACATACATATTAAAAGCCGGCCAAGTGCGAACCGGACTAGCGAACCGTGGGTCCACACTTACCTGAACCACGATCGTCGTTTAGAAATAAAGATAAAACGCTTAAAACCTTTAAGTGTATTTTCCGGTCCTTTAGTAAAGGCTGTTGCCCTATTCGTAGGTATGAAGTCCGCGTCTATGGCTGATTGGGACAAGTTATGGGCAATATACAAGAAAGAGGAGGACGTCCAAGAGCTGTTGAAACTTCGTCGAGCTTTAGCTGCACCACGTGACACTACTATACTGCGCAAGTAAGTTAAATTACTTAAAATAATTCATTATCATCATTAGACCTTTTTACTCGAAGAAGAAATAGAAGACTACAACGGAAGTTTTTTATTTTATTAAAAATACCTCTTGCTTTTTTATGTGATATGACGGCAAACGAAAAGACAGATTTTCTAATGGTAAGCAGTCAGCGCCGCCGTCCATGGGCAAAGCGGAGGAGTGCGTTGCCGACCTTTTGGAGATTAGGGTTTTGAGGATTTAGGGATTGGGGGAGGGGAAGGATTGGGCATCTGGTAACCTCTTACACGGCGAAACACAACGCTATGATTGTTTCACGACGATTTTCTGTGAGGCCGTGTATTGTTATTAAACGATTTTATAATTAATTACTTAGTTTTATTGAACAGAACGAATGCAGCAGTGATGACACAGTAAAAGAAAAGATCAACGACCGACTCGTTCTAAATACAGAATGACAGATGACATGTAATTATGTATTTAGAACGCGTCAATTTCAAATTATTACAACACCGTGGAGTCACTCCGGAGGAGCCGATACTTTCGTGCCGAAGCATAGCTTCCTCGTACTTAACTTGCTTGATGTATGATAATGATAATTATAATGATTTTTTCTTACAGATTCTTACTGATGGCGTGGGACGAGGCTAATATCCGAAGCCAAGACTATTTGACCGTAGTAGTTCAGATAAGCGCCAACCCTAGTGGCTCGGCGCTAGTGTGGGATGATGTGCGTGCGCGCTGGCCACAACTAGTGCAACGATTTACTCTCAACAGCCGGTACCTTGGGAATATAATACCCGCTATCACTGCGTCTTTCAACACTGATCTTAAGCTTAAAGAGGTGGGTTATTTATGTTGTTGGAGGTTTTCGTATTACTTATGCATAATAATAGTGAGCAATCTCCTTTCTTGGTAAAACCGAACCAAAGCTATAGATTTTACGGTTGTTTTTTCTATAACAACTTATTGTTCTGCCCTCTATTGGAACTCAAAATAACGCCATTCTGTTTTTTTATTTGGTTAGTATAGTTTAGTCAATTTGTTTTTATATCCATAAATACAATCAAGTGCTATTGGGATCGTTATAATTTTAAGAAAAAAATGAGAAAAAAGTAATTATTACATCTACACAAAAATCTCTTTTTTCCTTACAGATGGAATCATTTTTCGGTCTGTACCCCGAAGCTGGTGCAGGCGAGACCGGCAGAAGACGAGCATTGGAAACAGTGAAGAACAACATACGTTGGAGTACATACCACTTGAAACAAGTTACTACATGGATCGACGCCAACTATCAATCCTGATTCTAATTTCAAGGGCATTTCTACTGAATTATAGATAAGTAAAATGTATTTTTAAATTTGAACGAAGTCGGGTAAAAGTTTCTAGGTAGCTTGACATGATGATAAATGTGAAAATTAACTTTAGTTTTGTAAAAAAAAAACTATATTAAGGTCATCGGTATTGTATTCAAACACGTTTAGTTGATTTAAATTATTCCCTATCCCCAAATCCCTAATGCTCAAATTGCTTACATCAAACTTAATATGTATTTCCTCTGGTATTTTAACGCCGAATACAACCATAAAGACCTGCTGTCTCCATAAAAAAAAAAACAACAGGTGGTTCTCGGGGCGCTAGTAAGTAGACGCGAGAAAAATTGGCACGGCCGTGCGATCTTTTCCTAGAAGCATCTAGATTTTCTCTACCATTTAGAGAGTTAAAAGATTGTTCATACTTGACATGATGTGTTTCAGTTAACGTGGTTTCAGAATCATTTATCTATTGGTTTTCATAAGGTCCGTAATGGAGTTTACAAAAAAATAAGAAAAAATTAAGTTTACAACAAAATAAGTACGTTAACATTTGAATCTCGCAATTTAAGCTTATTCTACGTGTTTGTTGACTATATTTGTGGGTATATAAAGAAATTGGTGATAATGTCTCGAGTGTAGTGAGCAAATAATTAAAGTACTAGCATTTGCCCGCGACTCCGTTTGCGTGGAATAGTGACTTTCTGCAGATTTTTTGGTATTAAAACTATTCTATGTCTATTCTCGAGTTCCAAACTATGTCTGTACCAAATTTCACAGAAATCGGTTCAGTAGTTTAGGCGTGAAGAAAAGACAGACAGACAGAGAGAGTTACTTTCGCATTTATAATATAAGTTTGGATTGATACCAAGCGCGTTGTCAATGAGGAATATCAGTATTGTGCTCGCCAGATGGCGTTTGTGTAGAGTTTAATTTTAAATACTTAAATTATGAAACTGTTTTAAACTAAAATTTAACTGACCTATTATTTCCAAATTTTATAAAAATAAACATTTTTTTTTGTAATATAGATTATAAATACCCTGTTATCAAAAAGAAAGTTGCATTTTTATGGCCATAATATTTTTTTCATTTGCATTTATTGATTAAATACCTAAGTTTAAAATCTATAAAACACACCACTACAGTGCAACACTTCCATTTGATTATCAACCTTAATGTTGTTGAGTCCCTATGTGTTGGTATGAGTGGCTCGACCTTGGTGAGGCAAATAAACGTACACGGAATTCTGTATCAGATTATATTGTCTAACTTATACAATAGTTCATATATGTCACTTAGAAAATAATACAGACACACGGTTGCGTGCGCTCGCGCGCTCTCTCGGGCAGGGACTGCCGCCTTACAATCTGACCCATTTACGCTAAGTCAGTCCCCACAATACTCCCCCCTTATTTAAAACAAGAAAAAAAAATTATGGTTTTACCAAAATTTTATCGTTTTCGATACATCGTTACTAATTATTAACAATAACTACATACATAGTTGTTGAACGCCTGGTTAGAAACATAAAGTAGTGTCAGCACATTACTGGCTGGTCATTTGATCGCCCTTATTGCTTATCAACCTGAATAATAACAAAGTGTAACTAGACGCCTTACATTGTAAAATGAAATAAAGATATTTTTACTGCGTGAGAACATGATTTTACCGTTATTATAAGTATATAGTAGTATATATATAATAAGTTTATAATATTAACCTCTCTTACGGGGTTTTATGCATACAATATGACATGTATATCTAAGTACTTATAATTATGTAAGTATCGTACTTAATACTAATGTTTCAAAAGTTGGACATATTATTACTAATTAATAAACTGGAAACACTGGTTAATAATGGGTCGATGTAGTTTGAGGGTCTGATCGAGCTGCTGTTTGAGCTAGCTGGGCCCCTCTCCCCTGCTCGATACTGGCGATTACCTTGTCGATCACTTTACTTTGTAATCTCCTTCCGCAAATCCTGCAGACGATGAATAAACACGCTGCACACACTAATACGATCACTATTATTGTTAAAACACTGTAGTACTCAAATTTTTTTTCCAGTTCCGCGTGTGCGTGATTATCCGCTCCATTCTGAGCGATAATTACTTCTGCGTTCTTAGATTGCTGTTTGCCCATATTGATAAAAATAGTCATAAGACGGGAATGACAAAACTAAAGCACGGAATAATAATGTCCGACTATTGAAATTTTACAGCTACTGTATTACTATTTACTTATTCTATTTGCTTAATATTACTATAACATGCCGATTTACATTTTTGTGTCTGACTTTGCTTAAAAACTAGGTTTCGACAAATCGCACAGGTGGTTTAATTGATCTGCCACTTCGTGTGGTATAAGTGTTAGGCTTATTGTCTATTTGTACCTTTTTATCACTACATCGCTGCTCCTTAACGTAATTATCTGATGCCGTTGGCTCATTTGTGTCGGATTCTAACAATATATATGCTGGCTTTAATCTTTCTATTGAGATACTTACTTGCCTGTTAGGAAGTTGTATCTTAAAAACTTTACTATTTCTACTTATGACGCTGTAGGGGCCGTCGTAAGTAGGTGTTAAGGGTTTTTTGACTGCATCATTTCTTATAAACACGTGAGTGCAACTATTTAAGTCTTTGTGCACAAATATTTTTCGCGAATCGCTTACGTTTCGTGACTTGGGACGGAGGTTGTTTATCGTTTCTCGTAGTTTTTCTACGTAGGTATAATCGCCGTTGTACTTTGGACATGTCTCGCTATAAAATTCTCCGGGTAAGCGTAATGTCTTACCTAAGACTAACTCGGCTGCGCTAAGGCCGGTGTCACACCGGCTGGCTGCTCGCAACCCGAACAGGACAGTCGGTAATTCGTCGTCCCACGACTCATTGCCGGATAACCTGCTGGTTAACGCTGTTTTTAGGGAACGGTGCCATCTTTCTATCATCCCGTTACTTTGCGGATGGTAAGGTGTGGTTCGAATCCTTTGTACTCCTAATAACCGTAACAGACTAATAAAAAGCTGGCTCTCAAATTGCCTACCTTGATCGCTGGTCAACCTCGTTGGACACCCGAATCTACAAATCCAATTTTCATATACTACTTTGGCTATTACCTCGGCGGTAATATTTTGGACGGGTATGGCTTCGGGCCAGTGTGTAAAGCGGTCTATGATTGTGACGCAATACCTATTACCATGTCGTGTTGTTTGTAAGGGGCCTACTATGTCTACGTGTATGTGATCGAAACGTTCACTATTTTCAAATGTACCTACTCCAGTTACGACATGACGATTCACTTTACTTCTCTGACATTTAATGCATGCTTTTGACCAATTGCTGATTTCTTTGTTCATCTCGGGCCAGAAAAATCTTTTGGTTATCATTTTACGAGTAGTTCTAACCCCTGGATGACTAATGTTGTGTACGGATTCGAAAACTGATTTCCTAAAAGCTTGTGGTATATACGGCCTTATGGTGCCGTTAGCTACATCGCAGTACACACTTTTGCTGACGTTGGGAATGTGTATTTGTTTCAACTGTACGTTGGTTGTAGCGTCTTCGTTCTGTAACCATTGCGAAATTTGTTCGTCTGTTTCCTGTGCGTTGGCTAATTCCTCGTAATCTATGGTCGTTGGACAAACAATGGTTTCGACGCGAGATAAAGCGTCAGCCACTGGGTTATCGTCGCCGTTCACGTATTCGATTTTGTTAGTGTATTCGCTTATATACATTAATTGTCTAATTCGCCGCGGAGTTTCTTTATTTGAACTTATTTTTGACAGTGCGTATGTTAGAGGTTTGTGGTCGGTGTACACGATTAAATTGCGCCCTTCTATCATGCCTTTGAAATGCATGATTGACATGTATATCGCGAGCAATTCTCTATCGTATGTACTGTATCTTTGTTGGGCGTCTGAAAGTTTTTTCGAAAAATACCCCAGTGGCTGCCACGTAGAGTTGATCCTCTGTTGCAATACCGCGCCTACGCATGTATTGGAAGCATCTGTATTTAATGATAACGGGGCGTCAGCGATGGGGTGAGATAATGTTACGGCGCTTTGTAGGCTTACCTTACATTTCTCGTATGCGTCGTCGGCTTCGGCGTCCCACTCGATTTGGGTATTATCGTTTTTCTTGGAGTTGTGCAAGAACTTATTGAGGTACTTATGATAATCTGCTGCTTTGGGCAAATGCGCTCTGTAGAAATTTACCATGCCCAAAAAACGTCTGAGTTCCTGGACCGTTTTTGGTTTGGGGTATGTGATGATAGCTTGAATCTTATCGGGTAGGGGGCTAATTCCTTCTGGTGTGACCTTATACCCTAAGAATTCGACTTCAGTAAGTCCGAATGCGCTTTTGCTAAGGTTTATGGTCAACCCGATAGTGTGGAATCGCTCAAATACCTTCCTGACGTGTTCCCTGTGTATGACTTCGTTCTTTGAAGCTATGATGACGTCATCGATGTAACAGAATAGTGATGATTCGTATTCATTTCCTACTTTCTGACCTATATTTTCAATTCCACATAAAACCGTGTTGTCCATAAACCTCTGAAAAGTTTGCCCTGCGTTCCTAAGGCCAAATGTCATCCGTGGAAATTCAAACAAACCAAATGGCGTTGTAATTGCGGTCTTATCAATATCCTCCGTTGCCACTTCTATAAAATGGTATGCTCTGTTAATATCAAGATGTGTGTATATAGTTTTACCTGATAACCCGTATGTAAAATCCTGCAGTCTCGGTACTGGGTATCGGTCAGGCTGGGTTACTGCATTGAGGCGTCGGTAATCTCCACATGGCCGTATGTTGCCATCCTTTTTCTGGACGACATGCAACGGGCTGGCCCACTGACTCCTGGATGGTCTACAAATTCCTAATTCTTGCATATAACGGAATTCCTCTTTTACTTTCTGGTACTTACCTGGTGGAAGCGGTCTTGGCTTCGCGAAAACTGGTGGTCCTGTGGTATCAATATGATGCTTTACTGAATGTGTAGGTAAGTTTTCTTTAAATGAAACGGGTCTAGTTATGTCGCTAAATTCCTCCAACAAGTCACGAAACGGGTGCGAGTGTTGAATACTATTAATCGTGGGTTCATAGTAACTAATGATGGCACCTACGGCGCATAACTGTGTTACAGAATCTACTAGTTTCCTATTGTGTAAATCAACCAATAATCGGTGCGCTTTTAAAAAATCAGCGCCAATTATGGGTTGGCTCACGGCAGAAATTATAAATGACCACTTAAAGCTACGTCTTAATCCTAAGTTTAATTCTAATGATATGACGCCGAACGTCTTAATTTCAGTGCCATTGGCGGCAAAAAGTTTATAATTACTTTCGCTGTGTTTGCGTTTTCTTGGGCTAACTTTAGTGACTGGTATGACTGAGACGTTGGCGCCAGTATCAATGAGAAAATTCATACCATTTTTGGAATCCGAAATACACAACCGATGGTTTTCGTTGAGATTGATGCATGCCACCACCGCGTTGGGCTGCACCTCTCTCAGTTTCCCGTTGGCTTGGATAGCTTCTCCCAATTACACGGTGCCTCACAGCGTCGCGCTGCCTCGCGGAATCGCAGGTGGTACCAGCACAGCCAATCTGGGCTGCTCGGTGATCGTTGCGTCCTCTGGGATCTGGGACGAGATTGTGAACGATTACGCTCCCAGCGTCTGTTATCGTTAACTTGTTGTCGTCGGTACCCAATGCTGCTTACCTCGTCGCGCAATGTCTTAAGCTCCACAGCCATATTTCGGATTTCTGTCAGCAGATCGACGGTGACGCCCGACGCTGTTGAAGTTGACGTCCCGGGTGCAGTATTTGTGTTTATTGCTAATAGTTCTCCACTGCGCATGTTGTCCATGATTTTATCCGCCGTTTCTGCGAGGTCGTCGAGCTTAGTATCGTCTTTGTTTGTGGCCAAAATCGCACGAACCCACGCTGGAAGACGAGACAACCAAAGATTTTTCACAGTGTCACCTGCGGCTCCGGAGTTTTTGGCGAGTTCATTCATTTTTGTTAGCAGTTGTGATGGACGTTGTTGTCCCAATTCCATTTCCGACACTAATTTGTGGAATTGGGCTTCCGCACTGGCTTCAAAAATCTTTATCAGCTTATTTTTCAGCGATGTGTAGCGATGCTGTTCCGGCGGGTTGCTGATTAGGTCGGCGACCTGGCACAATTCTTCTTTGCCGAGTTTACTTACGACCATGTCGTATTTGACCTGCTCGCTTTGATGTTGAGGTCCCATAACAGACTCGAACTGCTGGAACCACATTTTGGGCATGTCCGTCCAAAATGGTGGTACTCGTGAGGCCAACCCGATGGCTGCCAAATCGCTTGCCATGGTCGGTGGCGACGGTGGAACTGGAGGCGCCATTCCGTAGACGATGCGACACTTTTTGCACTATTTCCTTTTTGCAAGGCCGAGTCGGGGTCACCACTGTTGAGTCCCTATGTGTTGGTATGAGTGGCTCGACCTTGGTGAGGCAAATAAACGTACACGGAATTCTGTATCAGATTATATTGTCTAACTTATACAATAGTTCATATATGTCACTTAGAAAATAATACAGACACACGGTTGCGTGCGCTCGCGCGCTCTCTCGGGCAGGGACTGCCGCCTTACAATCTGACCCATTTACGCTAAGTCAGTCCCCACAATGTCATGAATTAAAGTAGATATTATTAAAAATTAAGACTTTAAAATGCCTTAATCTATTTCTACATATTACAAGGTACACCCTATATACTAATCATGCTCAAAAATACTTTTGTAAAATAATTTAAGGAAATATGTTTATATTAAATGAAATAAAACTATTGTGTGTTTATTTGGTGCTTTTATTATTGATAATAATTTAAATAAGATGTAAAGCAAATTGTGTTGTTATGCGCAATACTCGAGAACGGCTAAGCCGATTCACTAGTCCTTATTTTTATGTAAGAGCTCCTTCCTATAGCTCGTAGCATTATGATTCTTCAATGAATTAACTACACATCCAACAGATTTTTTTGTTTCTTGAACAAACAAATAAATAAACTCTTCGGCTTTTTAATATGTAGGTATGTAAGTACCTACAGTTAATTGAAGAAAAATAGGTAAAAAGTGGCTATATGTTATCCAGACTATAATCATTCTCGCCGATTCGTTCGATTTCGTTCAATTGCGTGCAATTTTAACGTGACATACATCCATACACCCTTCCATCCATTCATACTTAGGTAGGTACAAACTTTTGCGTTTATCTACAGATAATATAATTAAAAAAGTAGGTAGATACTTAGAATCAATGGTCCAGATAACTAAGTAACAAATGACGCGCGCATGACGACACTTTATCAATATTGCAATGATTAGACCTATTAACTATAATGTATGTGAGTTCTAAGCAAAACATAAATCTAATGACGTACCTATAAACTGAGATTTTGCAATATTTTGAACTACGATTAAACTGAAGATTTTCCGCCCTCAATCAACAAGCAAAAAAATAGGTTAAAAACGTGCTTATCAAAATGCCTATTTTTATAGTAAAATTTTAAGAACTTTGTGTAATAATTATCTGTTTTTAAGCTATTTTTATTAAATTGCCTTTTATGCGTGAATTGAATGATGGTGAAAAAACTTTATTCTTTCTTTCCCAACACAGCGTAGTAGCTATAGGCCGCTCGAACAACCTGCAATTAAATTGTTTTTATTTTAATTTTTTGTATTCATTAGGCCCGAAAGTTAAGACACCCGCTTCTCATGAATGAGGGTGCATGCTCGAAACCTGGCAAAGTACCAATGTGACTTATTCCGACTTACATGTACTTTTTTCTAAGACTATTTGGACATCATAATTGGATATGATCAACAACATTGCGGAAACCTGATCCTTATAATTTCTATTTATAGGTAAGTGAGAAAAGCCGGACGCCCAATCCTTTCCCGCCCCCAATCCCTCCTCAATCCCTAAATCTCCAAATCCCTAATCCCTAAAAGGTCGGCAACGCACTCGTAACTCCTCCGTTGCGGGTGTCCATGGGCGGCGCTGATTGCTTACCATCAGGTAATCCGTCTGCTCGTTTGCCGACCAATTACATTGCATTGCACTTATAGGCTGGTGATGTGACGTTTGTCCGACATTAGGATTTTCTCCCGTCTCGTAGATGCAGTTAACACAAACATTTTTAAATGTGTATATCGTACCTACCAAAAGACGGAGCAGTATTTTGGATTCTACATAGATAATCAAACAAAAAGTTTTGGTGGTAATCCATACAGCTATCGAATACCTAGCAGCTTATTCCAGCCACGTTACTAACTATTCACTTTAGTATTTAACGTAAATAAATGTCAAACATATAATATAGTTGATTCTTACTCACTTGTATAAACGAAGGCAAGTCGAGAAAGTTAAATGGCCCAGCACGAAGGTGCCGTGGCTTCATCATACCGGAGCCGAGGATCACCAGGTCTCTTCTGATTCGAGGACTTAAACACCATGAGGCAGCTGCAAATGGTCCCTGTCCCATCCCCATCGAACTCTGTTTAAAAATATAGTTTATTTTCATTACTAGCTGCTCCCGCGCTGTTTTACCCGCTGCTTTTCAACGTAGCTTTATGTTTTATAGCCTATACATAGCCTTTCTCGATAACTATAGACTATCCAACACAAAAATGTTTGTTTAATTCGAACCAGTAATCCCGGAGGTTAGAGCTTTGAAGGAAACAAACAAGCTCTTCAACTTTTTAGTGTATGTAAATTCATTATTCAGAAATATTTGTTTGGCGTTCAAAACGTACAATGGTCTTATTGAAATAAATAATTTGACTTTGACTTTGAACATCGAGTCAGGGCCACCTAAGTAATACCTACCTAAATGAAAACCAAACTGATTGGTATCACAAACTGCTGATAATAATTAATCAATTAATGCACCTGTTACATATTCATTTGATAAACTAGTGACTTACAGGCATGTCGTAGCCGTTAGTAACTAAGTCGTAGAATACTGAAATTCGGCTTCAGTTTTTGGTACTGCCAATTGCAAACTGCATAGCGAAGCCCTTAGAGATTACCCGACAATCTTAACGAAAACGGTAACTTTAGGCACACACAACAGTCGCGGGCTAGCAGATCGTTCTAGCACAACTCTAACAATTGAGAAAGTCATGTCGGTCATATCTTTTATTTCAAGAGGAGTCGCAAACTGTATAGGTTATCGCATAAATCATCAATACAGATAACCGATTTAAAACCATCGAAGCTCTGTTTTTCTTTGTGTCAACGGTTACTGGAAGCCCAACTCTCGCCTTTTTTCTGGTATCGGGTTGAAAAATCTTCGTGGAGACACACCCCCTCGAGGAACGGCAAAGGATACTGTCAGATTCTTACTGACAAAAAACCAACCCTGCTGCGCCCTGCAGTGGCCGCAGGTCGGCCACCCTACGACGTCTCGTGCGTCTGATGCGGAGGGAAGAGAGAAAGCAGCTTCTCTCTCCCTTTCCGCCGCCTCCTTTGCGAGCATCAAGTCCTCGCAAAAAGTAGCGACGGCACTCCACCCTGATTTGCCTCCTACCATGGTAGACACTACAGCCGGAAGCGAGAAATTCCCGGAGCACCTACGGCCGCGACATAGTCACGGCACTGCATGGCCCAAGTTGGGCCATGCATGCAGACTCTGCCATGCAGCGCCATATCGGCGTGGCAATCACAATTGTGGCACTGAGACGTCAGCTCCCGGCTTATGCGACACAAGTGCTTCCCGAAATAACCATATCCGATAAGCGTCTGCATCAGCCGGAAGTTGAGGGCGCCGTGGCTCCTATTAAGCCACTCCTCTAAAACGGGCCTTACAGCTGCTACAACGGTGTGCCTCGCCGTGGGTTGCGCTAAGCGCATCTACCACTCTGCCACTAAGACGTGACGAAGCTCTGCCCTGCTTGCCACAACCTGTGGTGGCACCAGGCGCTCGCCCCGCTCGGCCGCCTCCGAGTCCAACCCTCCCCTCCCCTATCCCTTCTCAATTCCATCAAACATCTGATACTCTGATCTCTAAAAGATCAGCAACACACTCGTGCCCATGGGCTGCGACGATCGCTTATCGTCAGGTAATCAGTAGATACTTACATACGCTTGTTTACCGTTGTTGTAATGAATACAAACTAAAACGCCGGATCTTACTAGATTGTATCGAAAGAGCTGGCGAAATCTAGTTAAAACTAAAAAATGCTAAAAAACTGTATATAAGCTGATAATATAACTTGCTAATACTGAAAGGACATTGACATTAGTATACCTCGTTTAATACTGCGTCCCCGTATGTGCAAAAAATAAAGAGTTGTGTTAATGTAGCGCACATGTATTGGATTAGGGAGACCAATTGCATTATACTCATCTCTTCCTGAAAATTTCCAAGTAAGTGTTAGAATTTAAACAAAATAAAAACACTTCATATCTTTAAGAAAATGTTATACTTAGGTTCGTACATATTTCAGTCTCACAGCAACCGAACACAGAGTTAGAGTGGCCACGAAGAAATACACTCCAATTATATTCTTCAATAACATATCAAGATCGTTGATTGTACTAAAACAGATACGTACGTAAAATCAGTTAAATTTCTTATGTCTGCTTATACATTTCAGATATTGATTACAGTTCTACTTACTTTACTAATAAAATATTGGTCTGATGACAACGTACTATCCTATAATGTGCCCTCAAATCTCTTTTCTTCGAGAGATTACAATGATCTCCCTTACCGCCGATGCGTGAACTATAGTCACGAAGCAAAGAATACTGGCCACAAACAAATATCATGATGCCTACAGCTGTTAAATCAAATGCGATGTGTACACAGACACAGTAAACCGCAGCAAGAAATTCGCCCACAACTGTTACCATGTAGCCTATAAAACTCAAGTCGTCAAGAGGGGCCCAACCAGGCAGAATGTGAGGGTATGCCAAACACTCCATCCCTCGGATCTTCCGAAGAATATATTCGACAAAGGGAGAAATGATGAATATAAAAGCGGTAAAACCGTACATTCTAGTTAAAATCGTTGATGTGTTTTGAAATTTCTTTGTGTAGTTACTGATGAAATCTGGAAAATTGTTCGGCTCTTCATTATCCGATTGGTATGAAGTAGAGCTTTTATTCTTCTGTGAGTTTTCTAGTACCGATATTTGGGTAAGAAGTTTACGCCAGCCCTGATTGCTTTTGCGGAGGGAAATGAGTTTAAGGATTCCCATTCCGCAAAAAGATAGAACGCTGAAACACTCAAAGAGCCTTTCTGGGTCGTCTTTAGCCATGAATAGTGCAACGACTTGCAAGAGGCAGGTAATTATGAAACAGAATGTGCACACGTTAGCTGCCCAATGTACTTTGTGGTGAGTCATGTATGATTTGAGGCCTACGTTGTAGATCACACGGACTATCATAGTAACTAGGGCCTTGCTTTTTCCTTCTTCAGGTGTCTGTGGATATAACCGGAGAAAAAATCCTTTTATCTGCAAACAGAGTTTCGGTTACACAAGTTTGGTAATTACGAGTTTAAATTAATCTTATTATGTAGGTAAATAATATTTACCTGTAGCAACATTGTGTCCACTTTGGTGCACTCAAAGGATTGATCTAAATTCTGACAGGTATAAATAAGGTTTTGTTAGAATTCTTGAAAGCTGTGTCGTATGGTTTAAACTTATTACGTCTTTACTTGTTTAATGCCACAGTAAAACTACAAAATTTTAAAAGATTCCTTTTTATTACTGGTGCCTGCTTTAGTATACTTAAAGGCAAATTTAGCAATACGATTTCGGGCTGAGATTGTCAGCTCAATTGAATGAACGTGAATGTTTTCTACTATTCTACTACTAAGTCCAAGCTGATTATTAGGTAGTTGACTTGATTCAGTGAATTAAATAGAATCAGAACTTTTTTATGTTTTAATTGTAAACTAATTACTTGCCTATACTTATTAGTTTTCTGTAATTAAAACTTTGTAATGATGTTTTTGATAATAAGAAAATAATTGCTCCAAATTCGTAATGTAGGGCTATCATAAAAACATGTACTAGGCACACCTGATCCGATCCAAGCCGCACGGTTCGTCAATTCCTTTGCACCTCTAGCTATTGATTTACGGGTGCGATACTTCGGTTCTGATCGGGCAGCGAGCAACCATTGCTCGTCATCCGCAGACATTGGTCAATGGAATGGACAATGCTTACGGTAGCCCGAAATCGTTGCTCGGCCCGTGCAACGCGTAGAAAATTCTTATTAATTACACTTTTAGTGATATAATGTGAAATTAATCACATTTATCGGTTGCATCCTAAAATTCAAAATAGGTGTACATATTTTATTTAGAAATCGGATTTTGCTTACTGGAGAAACTTTTCATTAGTGTTCGTATGGATTTTCATCAAAGTACGAAGTCAAAAATATTTTTTGCAACTCAACCCACAAACATCATCATCTTAGGTACTTAATCCAGAATGATCCACTATTAGGAGTCAGATATAATTACATTATTTATCTAATTCAATCTTGTTTTCAAGTAAGGATATAATCCAGTATAAAATAAAAAATTACACCTTAATACATAATTAAGTAACTAGAAAGTTTAAACAAGTTCCAAAACGTGCTACGACAATAACACTTCTAAATCGTGCAATTTTCTTGCAATGGAAATTATGTGATTGAGTGCTAAACATACCGCCCTTTCCATGTATCAATGGAAAACAAACAATTTACTGATAGGTAACATCTGCTTGTTTTCCCAGCTAAGTAAAGAAGTTACCAATTTTTTTTAAATACTCTAAACTCCTTGTCGTAAAACTTAGTAAAACAACAGTATTCTACTTGCAAAATTCATACTTTATTTCAAGAATTACAACGACACTACGGACCAAGATTTTGTATAAAATACACTAAAGTGCATTTCTACCATCACCACCTACCATCCCATAGATTGCCAATATTTCGAATAAAATCCTGAATCGTCCCAAGGTGAGGAATCTACACTGTCTATCACAGTGGAATCTGAGGATCTTCCGGTATACTCAGGATATGATCTAGAGAAGATATCATTATACCCTGCGTTTGAACTATATCCATTTTGTGACCACCCGTTGTTTGAAGACTTTCTATACCCGAAACTGTTACTTCGGCTTCGAGCATTAAATCCAACGGTGTTGCTGTCCCATCCACCATTCCTGGCTGATCTAATGAGGCCAGGTCCACCCCAATTGCTGTCAGAAGACCGTTGGATACCACTGTTAGGTAGACCGCCGTAGCTTGATTGCCAGCCAAGACCACCTGGAGAAATTTCAAAATTAGCAATGGACTGTAACGTATTCGATGGACATACGGTTAGAGGTAGATGACTGATTTTATGCTACGTAGTCAAATATGGTTCTTAACACAAATAGTTCCTAGACCTTAAGATTATTTGCCTTCTAAAATTTTTTGACAACGTGACCCAACTACATTGTTGTGTTTCACCATATGAGTGAGGCTACCAGAAGCCCAAACCTTCTCCTCCCCCAATCCCTCCCCAAACCCTAATCCCCAAAAGGTCGGCAACGCACTCGTAAACTCCTCTGTTCCAGCTGTCCTGTGTGTCTTGATTGCTTACCATCAGGTAATCCGTCTGATCGTGTACCGACCTATTATTACATAAATAATAAAAAGAAATTTGATCAGACACACAGAAAACACACGGACAAAGAACTGCTGAACTTAATATTATGATGTTTCAATATTTACCTGGAGACCGGGCAACGCGGGTAGCAATGGCGACCGCTGCTGTAGTGAACAGCAAAAGAACCAGAAACTTCGCCTGAAAGAAACAAGTTTTTGTAAGTATATCACACGCTTTTCAAATATTTTTAAAGGCTCCTAATCCTACCCTGTTGCACATTTTTGCCTATTTATTAGATAGGTACATTTAAGTTACATGAACATTTCAGTTTTATTTTAAATAAATTAAAAATATAAAATTATCTTCATTTTAATTCACCGTGGCTTCGCCGGCGTAGTGTGTTAATAAAAAGCAATTTATGTTTTAATCGCTAGATTATTACCTATAGTATATATTTACTTACAAAAATTCAACCAAATCAAACATACATCCATACCTTCTAACAAACTTTCACATTTATAATAATAAGTAGGATATTGTTTTTTTAATAATATTGTTATCATTATAATTATTTAAAGTGTGTCTGTAAATTCACTTACCATGTCAGTGGTAAACCGTCTTTTAGCAACAATCGCATCTAGTTCTGTGCTATTTATACTGTTCTAGACGTAACTATTAATATTAAAAGTTTTTTCTCTCAAATGTTGGAGGTTTGAAATAACGAGCTTCACAATGGCACTATTTTGGATTGACACGTTTTCCCTATTAACAAGCCGTGTATGTCAACGACAATTAATAACACCTACGTGACTGTGTATAGGTAGGTAGGATCTTCATCTGTTTCAAGGTCAAGTTCATACCATTTGCCGGATCAGGTCAAACTATTCACAATGAAGTCAATGAATACCTAACCTACCTACCTAGTAAGTATAATTGTAAAAGCATCTACTTATATTTTATTAACTTTTTGAACAGTAGGGAACTATTGTGTGACATATTTATAAAATTTATTGAAAAAGATTTCATTAATAGGTAGGTCGTCATTAACTGTCGTGGTGGCCCGGAGGTTAAAGCTCCCGCTTCTCATGCATGTGGGTGCGGTTTCGAAACCTGGCAAGTACCAATGTTTGTCAATTAACAACATGGTGACACAACAACAACAATCAATTCAGAGTTTGTGTACTTTCTAAGATTATTTAGACACCACTGACAAATGGTGAAGGTAAACATCGTGAGGAAACCTAGACTTCTAATTTATAATTATAAGTTTGAAATCGCCAACCCTCATTGAGCAAGCGTGGTGATTAATGCTCAAACCTTCTCCGTGTGAGAAGAGACCTTTGCTCAGCAGTGGGCATTTATAGGCTGATGATGATGAATAGGAAGGTACGTAAATTAACTGTGAAAAGCTCTACTACTTTGAAGCCACTTGAGTCGGCTGCGTAATGTAGTCTTCGCATCGCGCTCGCTGCTTATGAATTAGAGTCCCGTTATAGCTATAGCTTTTCTCAGTTCATTCAATCAAATGTATTCATATTATATATACCTCCATTCTATATACATATACCTCCATTCATATTTTATTATGTATTTTGTTTTATAGTAGTATATTATCCATATATGTATACATATATATGTATCACTTTTTAATATGTAATTTTATTTATTATTAATTTTAGTTTCTGCACAGATGTTAGCTGTCGGCCATCGCTGAAAATCAGCGCTGCGACACTATCTCACATAGTGTCGCTACATATGCTGAGCTTTTCCTTATATTACTCTTTTTTTATATTGTATTACCATGTTTTTTTGTTCCTGTGTTTAATTAAACACTTGTTTGTTCTGTGTTTTATGTGCGTCCTAGACGCGAATAAATACCTTTTCTTTCTTTCAAATGATTTACTTTATTTACAAAACATTAACGTAAGGCGAAGTACCTATGTTCCGCTATAAATTAATCCTATAATAAAGTGAGACGCAATTACTCCAGACTATTAAGATGCAGGCAGGTAATCCGATGAGGGAACTGTATAAACACATCTGTAGTTTTAAGTAGATATATTTTAGTACTTGCATAATCAACCTTTTATGGTAGCTATCCAGGAATATGAAGAATAGACTGTTAGTGGGTATTCGTTATTATTGTTGTCAATGGTCAATGTATTTATTTTTATTGGACACATTTATTTTGGACACATTCAAATACACAATTTTTTTGTTATTATAATATGGACATTGGTCTATTTTCCAAGGGTAGTTTTGGGTGACCTATCTAATACGTCTATGAAACGTATATCATCAATAGACCTCTTCATTCGTTTCTAGAGTATTTATCTGGTATCGATTAATATAACTTGTACTCCCATTATATTTTGGCCGTGATGTCAATGTAACCTGTCAAAATATACCTAAGGAGGAACTTGCGGAGGGAAATATACTATATATAGATATGATATATATATATAGATATGATACTATATATAGATAATATAGATATGACCAGGATCCTCGTCATTAAATGCTCTGATTCACTTCAGTGCAATGAGGAAGGATTTTGTATGGGGTTACTACGATTAAACACAACGTAAAAAAAACGGCTAGACGATTTTATTGAAATTGTGAGTTCAATTCTCACTTACTTTTTAGTTTTGAAATGTTTCGAATTCATTGCTGGTTCAATCCCAGCTGTGATTTTACCATTGGTAAACTGCAATATATCATGCAGTCATCTCATATACTGTCTCCGCAGATCGTGGGTTCGACTCCCATTTATTTATTTACATAAACAATGATTTTGTTTATAAGAGTAAGCCGTAGGTTCAATTCCTGCGTTTATATTATGGCGTTCGACTATTGTAGTCTGTTATTAATTTATATCTGTATAACGTGTGTTAAATTCACACAGATGTATTTAGATCTGTCTCCGCAGCTGTGGGTTCAATTCCCGCATGGTGATTTGTTATTTATTGAGTGTCTAGTGAAAATGGGTTTGAAAACTGTGGGTTCAATTCCTGCATGATTATTTTGCTATTTGTCGTTGGTTCTTAATATTACCAGTGTCAGAGACGATGATTAGGTTTTGCATCCACCTGAACGTAGTATCTGGAGGATTTAGAAGTAAAAAAATACTTGTACTTTATGTTATAAGTATCGGATTAGTCCGATCCTTACGCCCTATAAATAATGAGGCATGCCATGTTAACTCTACAAGAGTGTTTGGTTGATGGAATGTTTGGATGTGAAAGGTGTGACAACGTTTGAGGTGTAAACGTCAGGAATAAAACAATTTAGAATTTATATGTTTTAACGAATGTTAGTCACATTCGTAAAAACTTGATTCTTAACTAACATTCTTAACATGTTGCAATTTATTTGTCAGTAGGTATATTATCTCTTTGCATTAGATACTCGTGTGCCGTGTTAAAACAATTCCAGGATAGTTCTAAATGTTGTGCTTCCAACGCATTGCTACCAGCTAGCTGAGGAGATGACAGCAGTTGTGGACGACTATTCTACCCGGAACAAAGCTAAGTGTCCTCTTGTTAATCAAAGTTGTAAAGATTGGCCCGTTATGTTAATGTGTATATTTACCATATTTACCCTTAGTATCAACAGTTGTGATTGATGTACATGAGTGTTTAACATAGGTACATAATGTCTGGATATAGATTAACATTATGTTACGTTTATGTTTGTTCAGTACTGACAGAATCTGAGGGGGGCGCGTTGGTCTTTCGGACTAATGAATTATCAAGTAAATGACAAAAAGCCATGCTAAAATAATTCAGGTTTGAGATACATTTTTTATAACTATCAAAGATTTGTAAACGTATAAAATAAAAACAAATCTTGTGATAGCTCACAGATGAAATGGGTTGGCAGTATTAACCCTAACCAGAAACAATTAAATCTGCACTAACCTCTTATAATCGGAGGGGGGCGGACATATTGAAATGCTTTCTTATATGTTGTGTGCCGACTATTTCAGATATTACCTACTGTTCAGACCATTCGCGCTTCGTTGCCGGTACGCAACGAAATCGTGAACGCGGAAGGAGAGGCTTCTGTCCAGCGGTAACGAGTACGATGGTGTATGAGAGCAAGGTAGCGTGACTAGCAGGCATCTAAAAGAATAACCCTGGTATGTACAAATCCATTTTATTAGCATGCACAGGATTGTTGTACTCGACCAATGGACAGGGTCAGCTAAAATAGTCTACATGGTTAGGATGCTGTAGCGATTGTAATTATCAGTCCCAAATTAACGTATTTAAAATACTAAATACATACAAATGTCTGGCCGGATATTGACATCTCAATCTTTAACTAGTTCAAGAATAACAGCAAAGCTATTCATTCATGTTCGTAATACGAATAGGTAATGAGTATCAGCGAGTGACAACGTTAGTTTGTAACTGGAGGCACTGGGTTGTGATAATAATGTCGATTATATTATTTCCCCAAGGAGGGTACACTAAATAACAATAGATGGTCAAAGACTTTCACGAATTTGTTAGGATAAAATATATGACAGCAATTGATTTTACGGAGATAAAAGTATCACGAAATCGTTAGACAAGTAAAGTGCTCTAGCAGTATCTTTCATTAATAGCTTAGAGCCACGATTCAAGCAATGGTAAATAAGCTCCGAAATACAATGTTTACGCATGTCAATATTTTGTTATGCAAGGTGAGCTAAGATCGCCAGACTCACTGCTCTGAAAACCAAATATATTCAGAGACTGTGATGTCACTATACTTTTAAAGCTTAAAATAAGACAAAGAATAGTTTTGAATTTGCAATGTGGTAAGAGTTATGGCTATCAAATGGCTGTAGAAAGTGTTACAAACAATAATAATATGTGCAGGGCAGGAGTGTAGGAAAGATTATTGCACACGGGTTCGATTCCCGCACGGAGCAGTTTTATGAGTGAACTTAGGATGTTGTTTCGTATCTAGTGTAATGTGTAATTGTGCATTTGTGAATGCACCTACCAAGTAGGAGAGCATACTGTGGCCAACGTTCAATACGTAACAAATAAAGGCAACGCAAAGTTTAATCAGCATTGAGAAATTATAGATATGCAATCTTAAACCAGTATCTGAATTCAAACGTGATATGAATCAAGTTCCAGTGTTTTAAATAGTGAAGTTGACAGTAACTTTATTGAATAACAATAGTGATCTCTTACATATTAATTTTGGATTCAGCTATTTAAACACAAACGAGCCAAACAAACTGTGTCTAAATCAGCTATTTTGAGTCAACGTGATCGGATGGAGGATGACTTATAACAATAGGTATAAACGTCTAAGCCTTAAACGTTTGGGTAGTTCGTGATTCTGAGGTGATCACTTATTGTGTACATGTCAAGTGACCCCACAATGTAATTATTGGTCGGACTTGATCAGTTAATGTTATAAATCTAGCACTCACTAATTCGCATAAGTACATTAAATATATATGCGCGAGGCTTGAGACCGTAATATCAGGACACATGCTTGTAAGCAATCAAAACCACTAGGAGATGGAGATTGGGCTAGTTTCTCAGTTATGTTATTGAATCCCAGGACATGGGGACTGCTGCTAAACAGCGCACAAATTGTTGCAGTCGATTTAACATGAAAAATAATTAA